TCTGAAACTTCATATCTTTATGGGAGTAGACAGCCTCACCATACTCCCCAGGAGTGGCAGGTGAGTTTGAAGGGCTGACCTTATAGTTTGCAGGTCAAAGTACAACCCATTATGCCACCCAGTTCCTTGGCAATGGACACTGAGTTAAAACATGGTGTAGCCAGGTATGGAAGTCGGCGACGGTGCCAGGGCTTCTGTTCTCAACCAGGCTGCTTCCGTGCCTTCTGGACTTGAAAGTTCAAACGACTGACCACACCCACTGCTTCCAGAGTTGTGAGGAAATGCATGCACAGATATTCTTAGAGAGAATGTACACTGGTATAGACATCCAGAGGATAATTTGTTAGACCCTACCTGAATTTTAAATGGCCTCCATCGTTTGAGCATATCTGGGAGCCAGGATACAAGAATCCTTGGATGTGGGAAGAAATACTGCGTGTGTTCATCCTAGCATCATTATCAGAAACAACCTTACCTGGCCACCACTAGTGCTACTGAGGGAGATTAAGGACCACCAAGGTATGGACGTCTCCACAGCCATTAAAAGGGAGGGTGTGGCTTGGCAGATCTTTGTCGGGGCATCCCTGAGCACTTGTCGAAGACCAGAAAGAAACAGATGCTGTGAAACCTACCTCCTACCAGAGAATGCATGCTCCAATAAAAATAGTTAGCTTTGCAGATAAATTTTTCAGAATATTACTGCTTTCTTATTTAGTTAAATAACTCAAGTGACCACAAGCATGGGAATAAACTGTTTATTCTATTGGTAATCTCCACCACAACTACCCCCCCCAAAAAAAAAAAACTAAATCAAACTCATGCTATGGAGTCAATTCTGCCTCAGTGGGCCTAAGGACAGAGCTGTCTCCAAGGCTGTACATCATTACAAGAGCAGACGGCTTCTCTTTCTCCCACAGAGCAGCTGGCAGGTTCTAACTGTCGACTTTGGGGTTAACAGCCTGTGTTAGTCTGGGTTGACTAGAGAAACAAATCCAAAGACACTCATCATATGTGTGTAAAAGAGAGCTTTATATCAAAGAGCAATTGTATATTGAGAAAACATTCCAGCCCAGTCCAGATTGAGTCCATGAGTCCAATATTAGCCCATATAGCCGATACTAGTCCATAAATTGACTCACACAGCACACGCAATGATGCCAAATGCAGGATTGCAGGCCGGTGGGTGAAAAGTCTTGTGGATCCAATGGCAGTTGAAACGTTGCCAGGGTGCTGCTGCCATCTGCTCCATGTGGCTTATCAACAGGAAGGTGAAGCAGAGAGTGTGTGGCCCACCTCCAGGGGGAAAGAGAGGAAGTTCCCAGAATCCTCATGAGAAGGCCACACCCACAAGGAGGTAGCATCAGGCGGTGACCTGATTGACAGGCTAGACTCCACCCCTAGACTTATCAAGCTGACATGAAATTATGTAACTGCCACACTGGCCAACGCCTAACCCACTACACTCCCAGGGCTAAAGGAAAACTTCACAACAAGAAGCTGCTCTGGTGCCCACTCCCAGGGGCCCGACATCCTTGGAGCCCCTCGTTCTGCAACAGCGGTTCTCAACCTGTGGGTCCCGACCCCTTTGGGGGGTCAAACGACCCTTTCACAGGAGTTGCTTGATTCATAACAGTAGCAAAATGACAGTGATGAAGTAGCAACGAAAATAATCTTATGGTTGGAGGTCACCACAACATGAGGAACTGTATGAAAGGGTCGCGGCATGAGGAAGGTTGAGAACCACTGATACAGACAAAAATTTCATCACCATAAACACACACTAATGAAAGACCCCTACTATGTTTGTTGGGCTGTACATTACAAAACTAAAATCAATATGCCATTAGGTGGAACTTGAAAACCAAGCTTTAATTGCCATGCAAATTGAATTCCCAGCACCAGCCAACTCCATGCCACCCTAACCCCGCCTGTTAAGGTGTTTTTCTTTGTCCAGTGAAGCGGTTCTTCAAAGGCAAAGGGCTTGTATCAGAGGATGCCTTCTTAAAAATCATCCCGATTTCTCCCTTTTCACTCATCACTCGGCGTAAATCAATGTGAAAATCTGTAACATTTCAAAAATCAAAAATAGGAGAACTCGGTACTTAGGTTCTGGCGCGGACCGTTTCGGCTGATCCGGTTTTCAGGAAAAACATTTCAGATCATGTGGCACCTTCTGCATGAGTCCGCGTGGGCACTACTTGCTTTGCATGTGGGGGGTGTTGTTGACGTGGGCGTGTTACTTGACGGGGGAGGGGGACATGTGGTAGTTGCATCTGCAGAGTAAACGATCTGGAAAGAGACATGCCAAACTGTGGAATGTTCTGGAGAACGAAGGGGGAGGCTGGGGAGGTGCCCGCATGGAATGTGCTCAGCACCGATAGTATTGTGTATCTGTGAGGATCCATTTTTTCTAGAATGATCCTGTATGATTCTGGAAGTCAAGCTCAATGAAAAAATATATATCTACCAGAGCCAGATCCACAGGACCACGTAGGCAACACTACGGAATGAAGAAATGAGTGTGGCCATCACAGAGAAGGTTGAGGCAGGGCGTAGTCGGGGCCATGTCTGCAGTCGAGTACAGGGTGGGGGAGAGGGAGAACGGGAAGACACGGGAGAGCCAAGTCCAGGGCGGAGGTGAGGGAAGGGCTCCGCGATGTTAAGGAAGCAAATGCAGTAGGTCTCAGTGCCCGATGGAGGTAAGGCAGGTAGCAGAGCAAGACTGCTTGGTGGTCCTCTACATTGGGTTCAGCGGCTGGCAGAGAAGTCTTGAACCAAGCCCGGTCTGCTGCACAAGAAGCAGCCTTCTAGGTAGGATGAAGAGTTTCATGTGGGACATGGACCACCTGAGACTACGAGGGGAAGGAGAGAGCTGTTTGGGTCACCTGAACAGGTCTCCTGGTTTAGTCGGGGGAGTCCATTCCAGGGAAGAGAGGTCAGGAGAGGTTGCACTTCATACAAGTGGCCAGAGTAATCCGCTTCTCTCAGTCATTCAACACATCCTTATCAGACGGGAGTGAGTGGCCCGTGAAATAAATAAACCAGTCTTTCCAATTGGACATCTCAAGAGGGGTCACAGGGAAGAGATGAGCCAGTCAGGGTGCAGTATAGCACCGATGAAACACAACTTTCTTCTAGTTCTTTGGTGCTTCCTTACCCCCACTGTCATGACCTCAATTCTACCTTACAAATCGGATTAGACCAGAGCATGCACACTGCTACAGATAAGAGCCTGCAACACAGGGAATCCAGGATAGATAAACCTCTCAGGGCCAACAAGGAGAGCTGAGATACCAGGAGGATTCAGGGAGGGTGGGGGAGAAGGAAGGAATGGATCACAAGGATCAAACTAGAACCCCCTCTCAGGGGGACAAATAATGGAAAAGGGGGGGAGGGGCGATGGAGGAGGGAGTTAGATATGGAAAAAATAATCTATAACTTATCAAGGGTTCGTGAGGGAGGGCAGGTGGGTGGGGGGAGGGGGAAGAAATGGGGAGCTGATGCCAGGGCTCAAGTGGGAAGAGAATGCTTTGAAAATGATGATGGCGGCAGATGTGCAAAGGTCCTTGACACACTGTATGGATTGTGATAAGAGATGTGAGAGTCTTCAACAAAAACGTTGGTTTGTTTTAAGAATAAACCAGTCTCTCATGGGATATGTAAACCTCTGGATTGGGTCTGGGAAATGCTTTTCCTCCAGATAGGTGAAATGTGGGAGCATGTGTGCATTACAAATGTGTTTCCCCTCTCACCAAAAGAGGAGCCCCCAGGGAAGCAAGAGCCCAGAAGAGCTGAGAGCTTCCCTGACGCGCTGCCTCTGGTGGCTTATCCTTGCGACCTGTCTCCTGCCCACCACCCTACTCTGGACCAGCTGCGTGTCCCAGGGCCAAGCTAGCATCTTCCTTCACTTCCCTTCCTCAAAGCTTCTGGGGCTTTCTGGGCAAGGCACTGAACCAAGACGAGTTCATCCCTTCAGACACTGCCAAGCACGCCTCTGAGCCTTGAGGTCTAGCAGGGAGCGAAGCCCAGCAAGTCTCTGTCCGCCTGGGACTCCGAGACCTGTTCTATTGGCAACCAAACACTTCCCTCTCCCATCTCGGGGTGTCCATGACCAAGGGACCAGGGTGCCTGAGCATTGCCTTGCCCAACTCAAGAAACAGGATGGTCCAGCACCAGCTGACTCCGCTCTGGAAAGGGCCCCCAGCTGTGGCTGAGTTTAGACCTGTAGAAAGACCTTGGGCTTGATACAATTGTGCTAGGCTCCACTCCCAGTCCCTAATTCAGAGTAAATGGTCAACCCAAACTTAAGACGCAGGTAGCCAAGACCACCAAAGTTCTCGATTTCCTCATCACAGCCCTAATGCTTTCCCTCAACCCAGTATTGGATCCTTTCTCCAAAAGCCAGCCCCGGTGCTGTGCTGTGAGGGTGCCCTCCGTGACCACCCACACTAACATAGAGCCGAAGAACATGAGGAGCAAGAAGAGGACTCTCCAGCCAAGAGGGTCTCACCAAGAGCATGGGTCTTGGTAGCAGGAGAGACCACAGGGTGCTAGTCCACAGGGTCAGCCGTTGGCTGCACTGTAGCTTCGACTGATCAGTCTGGTCTGAAGTGACCTCCACCCTGGACGCAAGGCACATGACTAGCACCTCCCGGCTGGAAAGAACGTGAAAGCCTACACAACCAAGGAGTCCAAGGGGGAAGAGATGAGCTTAGCTGAAACCCAAGTGTGGCTGAAGGGGACCCTGGGCCTCACCTGGTACCCCAGACACTCAGTCATGCCTCCTGCGATTGCTGAGGCTCCAGCATCCCGTCGCCGCCGTCCCAGGGGGAGGGCAGGGCAGGAGAGCCACAGTGCATCCTCCGAGGTTCAGCCAGCAGGGTTATGCACAGAGAGTGGGAGCCGGGGATGGTGCCCACAGTGCCTCCTGGCAAAACTCTCTTTTCCCCAGAGCCCACCCTTCTCATGAACTGTGATCTTGTTTTTTATCCCCCCTGTAGAGTGATGAGGTGCTCACAGTCATCAAGGCCAAAGCCCAGTGGCCAGCCTGGCAGCCTCTCAATGTGTAAGTAGCAAACAGCCCTGAACCTGCCTGCCTTGGCCTAGCCTGGCCCTTGGAGCCTCCCACTGAGTGGCCACCACAACCCAGGTAGGTCGGTAATGTGAGCGACACCGCCAGGTGAGGCTGCACCTCACGCATGCCCAGGGTCCCTTCCTTTCCGTCTTCCCACCTCTCCCAAGGCCTTAACAAGACAGCGAATCCATCTCAGACGTGAGGAGTCACTGGTCCGTGCTCGCGTGCACTGTCGGCCAGAGCAGACTTAACGTAACACACAGGGCCACTCGCTCTCAGCCAGGCTGCCCGTGGAAAGCAGCCATGAGCCAGGGTTTCGATCTCCATCTTTTATGTCTATGCAGTTTCTTGGAGAGTCCATCCTGCCCCGACTCCTTGAGGGCCAGAGGTGGGCTGAGGTCCCTAAAATCTGGTCAGTGTCCACTTCATCCACATCCTTCCCCACGAGGAGGGTTTGTGGCCCCCCTTGACTGATGACGAAACAGAAACGCACCCGTCCTATGACGGGCACAACCTCACCTCTTGTCCAGAAGAAATGGAAGTGGAATTCCAGCCCAGATGAAATGAATTCCATTGCCTGCACTCCTCATGGGACCAAGACACCGGATGAAGTGACCACCCATTGTTCCCGTTTCAAAAAGCCACCAAGACCTATCCGCTAGCCATCAGCTTCCTTCCAGCAGCAAGGCACGAACAGGGCCTGAGAATGCTAAACGGTCTGGCTCCTGCCCCAAGATAAAATCACACCAAAGTTGCCTGCCACTCCTGTGAAGGGTGACTGACATGTTGCATGGACCCCGCCTTTATGGCTGAGATTCTCCCAAGAGCAGTCCTCCTATGAAAGCTGCTTCCCGCGCAGCAGGGAGCGCAGCAGGGCAACTCATGTGGCTCACCGCCGTGTGGTGGCGGAGAAGCCAAGCACCAGGGAGCAGGAAAAGCCGATGAAGAAACGGAGCTGTGTGACAGGGGCCTCCCCATTGGAGGGTCAGACGAAGCTCCCCGTGGAGAAGGCAAGGGAGGCCATGTCTCAGAAAGTAGTGAGTGTTAGCTCCATAAAGAGTTAACTCGCACAGAATCCAGGAGTGGGAATGCTGATGCCAGAAGGGTAGGGGGAAGGGGGGGAGAAGATGGGAGAAAGGGGGAACCGATCAGAATAATCGACACGTAACCCTATACCCCTCTACAGGGGGAAGAACAACAGAAAACATGGCGGAAGGGAGACAGCGGCGATGAAAATAACAACAATATACAATCTATCAGGGGACTATGTGGAGGGGGAGGGGGGGGAGGGAAGCTGGTACCGAAGGCTCAATAGAAAGTAAATGTCCAGAAGAGAATGAAGGCAACATATGTATGAACACACCTGATTCAATTGCTATGTGGATTGTGATAAGAGTTGTGTGAGCCCCCAATAAAATTTTTTTTTTTAAAGAGTTAAGTGGGCAAGACGAGGGGACAGCGGTCTAGGGACTCTAGAGGCGCGCCAGGTGCCACGGTCTTGTCGGAGGACGGAGCCCTGCACAGGGGCTGTGGCGGGTGGCTGGATCCAGACATCCAGACACCAACCCATGACACTCTAGGGATGTTGACTGCTATCTTAAGAGTCCTGGGAAATCCTTTTCATCAAGAGGATGCAGGAATGAATTTGCATGTTAACTCATAATAGCAGCATTCTGATCCCACAGGGAAAGGGGGAAGACCCCAGGGGGCTTTCACAGAGATCCTGGTGGAAATTAACAGTGGTTTTGACTAGGATCCTAGGGGGCGAGGTACAGAGAACTGAGCGGTGTAGAAGAGTGAAGGACTACAGGCCATTATGATTGGTTCAATCCGGAAGAGGAGACCAGGAGGCCAATATGCTTCCCAAGTGTTGCGCTGACCTAACTAATAGAACCACCAATAAGCTAAAGAGCCCTGGAGCAAGTGGGGGAACGCTCGCAACTCCATGCTGCCTGTAAGTTGGAGATACTGCCAAGACGTGCAGTGACACCATCACCTGCACAAGTAGCTGGGTAGACATCAAATCATTGCATGGGAGCTATCGTCAGTGAAGGACAATCAAGGTCATGGACAGAGAGAACATGAGTGGAAAAGGCGGAAGACTGAGTCCTGAGGAGCCCCGGCACTTCCAGCTGAGGAAGACTTGCCTGCCGTGGAGAGCGAAAAGCAGAGCCAAGAGATTGTGCTTTTTTAGGGTCGGCGGGGATAGGGGGCTAATATGTTTTCATAAGGAGAGGGTGGTGCGCTCTGTCCACTACAATCCGGAGGTCAAGTAAAACAAGGACTGCAGAATGCTTTGGGGGATTGTAAAGACCTGGGTAAACCTAATTTACCTAATTTAAACCCTTTGAAAATCTTGACCTGATCCCGAATCCTTTCTGCAGAGTGATGGGGTCGGTGGGGCACTGGGAGCAGGGGGTGAAGACGACCTGGCTCCTGAACGACAGGTTGAGGGCAGACGAAGGAAAGAGAAGGCGTTTATCTTTTTTTTTCAGAAGGAAAGAGATTTTCTGAAAAACGGAAGGGGTTGGGGGGAATGTTGCAATGTCTTGTCAGCTTCCACTCGTCCTGAGACCGGAGACCGGAGACGATCAGGATTAATTGGTGCAGTCAGGCCTCTCCAGCATCCAGACCCATCTTACCTCAGTGCTACCAGCGTGTTACTAGAAAGGAATTTTCCTTTGCTTTTCCCATACCCCAGTCTCCCCTTTCCTCATCCAAATCTCATCAGGAAGTCAAATTAGAAAGCCTACATGCAGCCAAGTTTTGTTTTGCAGAACCAGCGCTGCCCCTCCTCTGCGCCCAGCCTGCTCGATCGAGGTTAATGGCATTCCAGCCTCTCTGGCCCAGTGCAAAGCCAGGGTGACCTACTTTGCAAGGTCCTGCCCGTCGAGACTGACTTGTTTTTCAATGATCCTCATCTTTATCCGCAGGACCGCTTGTCAGAGGACAGCCCTGAATGAGCAAACGAGCTGCTGACTTGTTTCCCTCAATAAATCAGGCTGCAGCTCGGACAGCCCAGAGCACAGGTGGAGGCGGGCGAGCCGGACCTTGGACAAAACCCACCTCCTTCACCACGTCCTCCAGCCAAGTAGAAAAATGCCTCATTTCCTCCATTTTATTCTGAATTCTAAGAATGATTGGAACAACAAAAAATCTCGTTTCGTTTCCTCGCATGAATCCTGCAAAGGACTGATGTTCCGTAATTACTGCCCTGGACTTAACATTTGACTAGACAAGGGCCCTGCTTGCCTGGCAGACGGATGGAAAGACACAGCCACCCGCTCCCCAAACGGAAGTTCCCAGGAGGCCAACAGCATGTTTCTCTTATATCAGAGCTGAAGGTTTCTGGACCTTTCTGCCTCCTGGGGCACTGGACTTGGTCCATCAGTCATCCTCAGGAGCATAACAAATGGCTGGCTTTGAACTAGAGAAGCAGGCAGTAGATCTGAGCAGACAGATGGACCCAGCGCCCAGATGCCACCTGGCAGTTTTCCTCAAGGCTGTAGAAACCTCACCCAAACCGCTCTCTTCCCGCCTAAGACCTCCATCTAGTGAAGGGCTCGGGTGCCCCCTAGTGGCTGCATGGGGTTTTGGTCGTTTGACAAGTTCGTTGGAGGGAATTGATTGAACTACAGGATGGACAGCATTCAGTGCATACCCGGTTTAGGAAACTCACGGTGTCTCACGGCTAGGTACTATCTGTCTCTTACAAGAAGTGAGTAAGTATCGAGAAGACCGTGACATCTTTGGATGCCTCTTTTCTTTTGGGGTGTCTTGGAAAAGTTGAATGAAAATCAAGTCATCCTTTCACAAAGCACCTATCATGTGCTAGGAGCCCCATGTCGTAGTGGGTTACTTGTTGAGCAGTTGGAAACACCCTCCCCCCGCTCTTTGGGAGAAAGACGAGGGTTTCTGCTCCCGTAGATGTTCACAACCTGGGAACCCGGGAGCCCCATAAGGTCAGCTCTACTCTGTCCTGTAGGGAGGTCATAATGAGTCAGAATTGACGCCGTGGCTGTGCGTTCAGTTTGGGTATGATGTGCTAGTCGTGGTCACATGCAATTCTCCATAAGAAGCCTTTGAGTATGGGTCACTATGATCGCATCTTTCAGATGTCATGCCCGCACATAGAGGTGAGGTCAAGGCCCCTGTCACACAGCTAAGAGGTGACCGGACCAAGACTCAGATCCAGCTGTCCATTATAGTGCTCTGGGCTCCTCCCTGTCCACCACACTGCCTCCCTGAATTTAAAAAGATGAAACACTTCTTCATTTGCTTTTGTTTTGATTTGTCTAATGTGAATTATCCATTCAGAACATTGGTTTTCACATGCTGGGAGCATGCTATTTTCTTACAAAGTTAGATTCACTATGGTAGAGAGATTAACTCTTGTCAGTCAAACTTAGGGGAAACATTTTTGCCAACGTCATTTTTCTCTCTAATTCAGTATTATCTTTGTATATGGCTGTTTTTGTTTTGTTTGTTTTCTAAAATTAATCTGTAATTCAATCCGTCTCTTCTTCATGGCTGCTTCTATGTATCCAAGCTGAGAAAATTCCCTCAGTGTGTTTTAAGAGTTAATTTTTTTTTCAAGATCAGGTTGTTTTTTTAAATTATAGATTTGGGGGGTGGAGTATGTGGAATTATATGTGAATCTGTTTTGTACTGTTATTAAGTTAGCCCAATCCCACTTGTTGCATGATCCTTGACTCCCCCTGGTGGCATAGTGGGTTATTTATTGGGCTGCTAACCAAAAGGTCAAAGTTCAAACCCACTAGCAGTTCCACAGAATAAAGATGAGGTTTGCTACTCCTATAAAGAGTTAATCTCAAAGACCCACAGGGGCAGTTCTACCCTGTTCTGTAGGGTAGCTGTAGGTCCCACCTGAATGACTAGCAGTGAGTTTCAGTTTGGTATATAAGTCCTTATCTCTGGGTTCAGGTGCCTATTTGTCTATGTTTCCTCCAAGGGGCCCACTGTTTGGTCAC